ACTTCTGAGCCTTTCAGCGACTTTCGCTCTGGCAAACTTAAAGGATTCAGAAGTGCAGCTGGAATACATATGGGAGATGTTGGAGAAAGTTGAACACTTGAATTTGTAACTCCATTGTGTGCTGGAAGAACTTCCTGCAGATGAGGCGCATCCCGTCAGCGACTCAGGGAGACTCTCCGTCTGCTAACAGGCATGAATTTATCCTCTGAACCAGCTACCAGAAGTGACATGCTTTATGTTAGTGTTACACATGCAACAAGAATCTTAAAATAAAGCCAGTGGGGACATAATTTCTTTTTTGCTTTCTGTAATCTCTGTACTACAGTAACTTAAATGGAAAAAAACAAAAACCAAACCAAACCACCCACTGATATTTTGGATGAAATTAAGATTGCACGTTTGGATCAAAGTGTTTCATTCAACATAATTTTTCATGCGGAAACCTTTTTTAAATCAAAAGCCAAATACATATTTAGGTTATGCTCAACATTTAAAAAAGAACTGGTATTAATACAATATTATTGTGCCGGGTTCATCCCATTAGACAATCAGTTGCCAGTTCACTTGCTTAATACTCAGCTACAACACAAACTCAACTACAAACCTTTACTACACAGCCTAAGTTACTCAAGCATCTACTCCAAGTTATCTTTACTCCTCTATGAATATGTTAAAACTCCTGTTTCATATAAAAATTATCTTTATGGTGGTTTGAAATTAGCATGCAGAAGATGGAACAGAGGGGACAAAGGGAAAACACTACAGAGAAAGCACACGAGGCCCTGTCTCCCCATCAAACACCTCCTGGAATTCAGAAGATTGCAGGTACCTGTAAACTGGAGCTACTAAAAGCTACTGGAGGTGCACACTCAGAGCTGAAAAATTGAGAAGACGACAAAAAAGGGCCATAAAAATCACAAATGTAAATTAATAATCAAATATACACACACAACAAGGAGACAGATGGCAAGTAATTTTCCCCAGTGAACTTACACTTGTTCTTCTAGTGCACGTATTTGGGTCACTTGCTAGATTAAATCTCATGTGGCAGACCCAACAGAGGTACTGTCAAATGTGTATGGGCTCAGCCTGTTTTAAAATGATGCAAGTCTGACACTTCAGGGTGAAAACATTTAACAGGATTTTTGCAACACAGTCTGGAATATAGCCCAGCGACTTTGAAACAGGGCTGATGGATATTTCCTACCATCAGCAAGGCTGCCCCATTCAGGCCTGCTAAATAAAATGCAGTGTAAGCTAAAGAAAGTTGGTCTGTGCTACCAAATTTCATGGAAGAGCCCTACACAGACAGAGACAAATCTGTACTCATTTTCCAGAACACTGATTTTGACAATGTGTCACTGAGACAATACATCACTCAAGGTTAAAGCTTCCTACCATACTCCCCCTAAAATATGCCTTTCTTCTGAGATTTAGAAGAAAGGACCACCTCAACAGATGAGCTGCTTCTGCCATATTTACTGTAACAATGCATGACCTCGGATACACAGAGCACTAAATCTTCCCCTCCCCAGCCATGCACTGACAGTGACCTGTCTTAGTCAGCACAGGCCACATGAAGGATGACAGCTTCCCTGTAAGGCACTCGCAGGTCAAATTGCCAGGTGGGCTGGTGGGGCTTAAATGGCAGGCAAAAATGGTCATGCCAATGTGCAAGCCTAACTGTAGCAATGGGTTGTCTTACCTCCTGTAAGACTGGTAGACACTGGCATGAAACACAAACTGTGTGTGCAGAGATTAGCCCCCCCAGCCTTTAATCTGGCAAGAAACTGGAATTAACACGGTGCAAGAAGCAATATCTTCAATACATCTGCAGGAATGGAAATTTCATTCCTCTCTACCCTGTTACCAGTTTCAAGATGATTTTGCTTAACAATAAATAAACCTTTATTAACAAACAATGTGAGCTACAGTAGCATTAAGTATTTCCCCCCCTTCTGCATTCGTCTCTTGTTTTGGGTTACTGCATACCACATACAGCTTAAAATAAATAAGTAAAAAGAGGGGGGAAATATATCTATTTGCTTCTAGCTCTAGCTGAATAAGTAAGTAGGGTTTGAGCTGGGGAGGTGAAACTCCAAGTAATAATCCACACACATAACTAGAAATTATCACAGCTGTCTGTAAGAATTACAGTGGCAGGGACAAGGGTGGCAAAAGCTTATGTTTTCTAGGTCTACATCTACAGAACAAAAAAAAAACCAAAAACATCCAACAACACTGGTGTTTGTGTTTAGAAACTGACTAGAAACTGACAAGTGACACTTTCATTCAAGGTAAGCAGTAAGTCAACTGCTCAAAAATATTGGGACTGCACTGACTACATGCAATATATCTGCTTAGTCCAAAAGAAAGGAGTTAAGCAGATTAATGACAAAAAGTAAGAACATGTATAAAGTCAAAGCCCAGACAACAAGCAAGTTTGTTATATCACTGTCCATAGAGTCTTTAGTTTGGTGCCATGCTGCTGCTAAAATATTACATCTTACCATTGGAAAATTGATTTTGCTATAAGAAGTTTTATGATGCCACTTAATCTTGCCCAACCTACATAAAAAAATACAGAAAGCAATTACAGACACCCTTTATGTAGTAAGTTTGATCACTATATTAAAAAGAGAACAGTTGATGTAATTTCAATATAATAGCAAAGGAAGTAGAATAAAAACCATGACAATATGCTGCCCTCCTGAAACAAGACATTGCTGGTTCCTAGCTCAAATGCACAATCTTGGTTCAGTTCAAGTCAGTAGCATGATCCATCTCCTGCATGTGTCCTGCAGCTCCAGCATCGACCTCCTTTTCTACTGTTACATTTCAAGCCAGCTCCTGCGGGGCAGCAAGATTCTGTGATTACACTTAAAAGAATACTCTGAGTCTGAGCCTGCCTCTTTGAATAGATAACCCTTTCTAGTTCAACAATTACTAGCACGAAACAGCCCTTTCTGCCTTGTCCCTTCCTGTGCTGCAATTGAAAAACATCCTAATTAGATGACCCCACATACACATATGCCATTAACTGGCTTTTACAGCACTCTATTCAATGCCTAAATCTTAGCTACAAGGATGAGAAGTACTTTATTTAGTTAGGAGGTAAACACATTAACACAGCAATCTTTTAGAATACCTTTTAAACAGTGTGAGATTAGTACTAGCAAAATCTGTGTGTGATTATCTTTTCCACACTTTCAGAGATGACACTCAAATAACAATTTTTTCTAACTGTATAAAAAAAAACCACTCAGGCAAGATCAAGAGTAACCTTGACCTCCACATCAACAGCACCAGAAAGTACTTCATACTGCTTTCCATGCCTAGTCCATTTGAACTGGCCTGCAGGACAGGCTTTTAGGCTTGTGCTTGAAGAACCCAGGTTTTGCCCAAACATTGCAATACATGCTATGTAGGGTTATGTAAATATTCCACAACTCCTGCAGTTCTTAACTATAATAAGGAGATTTAAAATAGCGTCGCTGGATCAAAATATTCACTACTTCCTATTGATCCAACTCAGACCTCACATTTCAGGGAAACAGTAGACTTTTCTCTTTTATTGTTTATGAATGAAGCGTCAAAACTTTCAAATAGGTTTAAGAAAAATCACTTAGAAAATTGGAAGACTCACAGAAACCTAAAACCACTTAATTGCTCACAGGGCTTCAAGTACATGTAAATGACCTGGAGGGCTGAAGCCTGAATTGCCACATTCTGCAGCCAACTCTGTTCCCAGCCAGAGACCTATACCAGGACTAACACTTGGCATTTGCTTCCAGTATAATAGGTTTAATAGTAGCAAGCCATGAAAACAGGGGGGAGTATTCTGGAAGCGGTGACAGATCTTAAACGCGGCAGGTGCACTGTAATACCGCTTAAGGGAGGAAAATTCCAAGTTTAGTAACTAATTACTGCAGGACAGGCAGGTTATTTTCCAAGGCAAATGCCTAATCAAAGACGCATCTGACCCTTTCGCATCCCATCAGCGAACCGGGAAGTTCAACTCATCCTCCTGATCAGGCACATCCCTCGTCCCACCTCGCCGTGCTTCCTCCCGTTTACTCCTCTCACACCAAAGGCTCCAAGGCACCAACCCTGCCTGACAGCTGCTCAGGGAGTTCTCTGGCACCGTGAACCGGAGCCATGCCGTAAGACCCTCCGCTCACACACCCACCCAGGGCACTCTCGCTCGCTCGCTCGCTCCCGCACGGGCAGCCCCGCACGCGTGGCCAGCCGCCGGCTCCCGCGGGATTCCAGCCGCGCCGCCGGGATGGGACGAGGCCGGGAGAGCCGCGCCGGGCCGGGCCGAGCCCCCCACCCACCCGGCCCCGGGGCAGACGGTCTCCGGCCTCAGAGGGAGAGGCTGATGAAACGCTGTCAAAGTCAATCTCGGCTCACTTTTTGGATGGTTTAATTCCAATGGAGCATGAATCACCCCAGGACGGTTAATAAGTTTAGCCAGGCGTGCTGTTCTCCCTAACAATACATTATAATTATGCATCTGTTTTAAATGCGATCAGATTAAGTCACCGGAAAAGGCGCAAATCGAAATTTCCCCCGACTAAGAACAGCGCCTTTCCGCAGCTCCGGCGGGCAGGTACGGCCAGGAGAGGAGCAGGTGGGCAGCCCGAGCCAGCCCAGCGGCGCTCCGGGCCGGCGGGGCTCCGCTCCCCGCGGCCGCCCAGCGCAGCCCGGCAGCGCACGGCAACTTCCCGCGGGCGCTCGGTGCCGGCGGAGCGGGGGAACGGGACGGGAGGCAGCCGAGCACCCCGCTGACACTGCGCATGAGGGACCAGCCCAGGACATGCCAACTTGGATCGGCGGGTCCCCGCCCGCTGCATGGGGCCGGAGAGGACTGAGTCCGAGCCGTCAAAGCTCCGGGACCCTCCGGCGCCGCCCCGGGCACCAGGAGCGGGGCGGCCGAAGCTCTGCTCCCGACAGGTGAGGAACCCCCGCCCGCCCAGCCCCGCCGCTCCCAGCCCTACCTGTCATCGTAGCAGAAGTCGGCGCTCAGGGTGTTTAAGTATAGGGCGAGCCCCAGGGCACTGCTCAACAACTCCGCGATCATCTCTCCGCCTGCCTCCGCCGCCGCCGCCTCTCGCACCGGGGCAGCCTCCTGCCCTGCCCGGCCTCCCGCTCCAGCCCCGCCGCGCCTGCCCCTCGCGCCCCCCGGCACCGCGGGGCGCCGCTCCGCGCTCCGCCGGCGGCCACAGCCTGACGGCGTCCCCCGCTCCGCCGCCCCTACCCCATGGCAGCGGGGCGATCGGCGGCGACAGCGCAGTGGGCTGAGCGGAACGGGACTGAGCGGAGCGGGGCGCGGCTCCGGCTCCCGCCTTCCTCCCGCGGCGCCCCGGCGCTGCCGCAGCTCCGTTCTCCACCCGCGCCCCCCTCGCTGCCGAGCCGGGCACCGCCGCCGAGGCTCTGGGAGCGCCCGCGTGGGGCGCCCCGGGCTCCCACCGCGCCTGCGTGCGGGCCCGCCCCGCGCGCCGCCCCGCCCCGCCCCGCGCGGCGGCGGAGCCGGGCCCGCTCCCGTTCCGGCCCCGGGGCTCGGGCTGGGCCCTGGGCCGGACCGTGTCCCGCTGCCAGCTGGGCACAATCTGGGCTTCTTTCCCTTCCCCTTTGCTCCTTGTTCCATTTTCCTGTTCCATTCTCTTTTCTCTTGGACTTTTTTCCCTTTCTTTTCCCTTTTTCTCTGTTCCCCTTTTCTCTTCTTCCTTTTCCTGTCTTTATTTTCCTTGAGTTTCCCTTTCCCCCCCCTTTTTTTCTTTTTACTCAGCCGTGCTGAATAGGTCAGAGTAGTAGCAAAGAGAAGGGCTCTACCTATATTGGGGATGGATGCCAGAGCAAGGGGCTCCACACTTGCCCACAGCCTGCTGTTTATCAGTGTGAACATCCATAGGGAGCATTTAGCTTAGCTTACAGTTAAGCAAAATCACTGAAACTTGACAGAGAGGGTCAGAAACAAACACACCCCAAGGCAGGGAGTGCTGCAAGCTTGTGCTCCCTCAGGACATCCCCACAACTGCATCCCGTGAGAGGAGGGGTGGGTATAGCCAGAGATGCACACTTTGAGTAGAACAGATAAATGGACTGGAAAGGTAAGCCAGCTATGGAAAATAATCCACTGAAACCATCTTCCAGAATACATGGGATATAGAGGCATGAAGTTATGGAAAGGATTTGGGTCCATCAAGCTGATTATTTCTTTATAGAAAGTTTTTAAAACATTACCTCCTTTCACTGCTAGCCAGCCCTTTTATATAACTGTTTCCTCATGATTTCAATCAAGTGGCACATCATGCTGTCCCAGAAGAATGGGAGTCTGTTCATCAAGCTGTGTCTAATAAATTGGGGAACTTTTAACAAGTTTTCTTTCTCCCCTATGTGATTATTTAATGCTGTTCTTTGCAACCTCGAAATATATGAAATGCATTAAGACTTCTTTTCAAGCAATGCTCAAAGTGCTCCTGGGAAGTCTGCCCCAAGTGTCACAAACATCTCAGCTGCTTCTACTTAGATTCAGGGAGTGTGTTATCACCATCAGTGGCAGTAATTGCAGACATGGGGGGAGGGTGCATTTTTTTCAGAACATTAAAGCTTTGAGGGGCCTTATTGAACCCATTAGCAGATCAGATTGATCTGGCATTAAACTTTTCAGCCTGAAGCACTGAATATAGTAACCTAGATTTTAAAGAGTTGGTGCTCTTTGTCAGAAGACCTGTGATCCTTCCTTTCAGACACCAATTCTCAATATGCTTCTGGACCTACTGCCAAGAGCCCAGTGATCACGACTTAGTCCTCCTTGCTGCAGTGGAATTGCTGAATTCATACACTTGGTTTGTACAGCTCCTTCTGTAGAACATCCTAATAAATTCTGCATAAAAAGCAGTATAATTGCTGCTGAGTCATAGTGGCAGAGGCCTCTTGTTATCCATCAAAAGCATATGTATTTTTTCTTCAAAGAGGTAGGACTACAGACTGGAGTAGATGGGGTCTGGCAGAAAAGCTTTAGAAACAAAATAGATCCTCCAGGGAAAAAAGTTTAACAAAGGCAGGCACTGTCTAATAAAAGCAAGTGTCAAGAAAGGGTGGGATGAAATGTGTAGCCATGTAGAGCGCTTGTTCCCCAGGACAGCCCAAGTGCTCCAGGGTGGCTGGAACCAGCCTGTCCAAGTAGATTTATCTACACTACAAGAATCCACAAAGTCTGTATCTTGCAGACACATTTCTTGTTCCTTGCAGAAAGAAAGGGCAGGCTTCCTCCCAATGGCAAGAGCTGTCTCCAGTGGAGATAACCTGCTTTGTAGAAAGATACAGATGTCAACATGTGCATGCAGCACCCCCCCTGTCAGCTCTGGGACTCCACAAGCCAGGCCACACCAGGGGCAACAGCCAGAAAGAGCCAGCGCAGAAACCTGGAGACAAATTGAGCATAAAAATATTGATGCTGTTAAACAACGCCACAAAAGAAAACAAGGGAGTAGAAATCAAATAATGATAAAAGAATTCCTTCTCTTCATAGAGTTAGTTAAAAATATTAAATGCATGTAGTTATAAACAACATGATATTTTACTTTATCATTGAGAGATATCGGACAACATTCTGACTCATAGCAGATTTACAATGTGATGTACAGGAACCACAAGGTGTCAGAAAAGCTAATTTAGAAGTTCAGATCTGTCATTAAGCAAATATTTTGAAAACAGTATTCACCTCCAGCAAGTCACAGGCTGTGGTGCCAGGGAAGAGGGAAGAGGTGTAGGGTTGTAATAACACATAATAATAACAACAGTAATTGTAAAGATAACTAGAGTTACTTGGTCTAACAGCTGATCTACTGTGTGGAGCCTAGTAGGCAAATTCACTTTGTTTTGCTTTATTGCAAATATGACAACCAAAGTTATCTGTTTTAATACCAGTTGGAAAATTTCTTCATTAAAGACATTATGGACTCTGAGTCACCATGCTACAAGATATTTCACCTAAATGGTGCCTGAAAGATTAAGTTGTGGCACAGCATGTAGAAATACATGTCTGTCACAGTGACAGATTTGGTTAACCGGTCACTGAGGCTGAGACCTTAAATGTCAGGGTAATGCATGTGGTACAGATCCCTCAACAGATTAGATTAGACACTTCAATTTCTATACACTGGGTTCATTTGCTGGAGCTTGTAAAAAATATTTGTGCCAACTTCCTTAAAGCATCTGAGAAGAAAAAGGCTAACCCCTTGAAAGCTGCTGGGGTTTTTGATTAGAATGAGGTAACTGGATATTAAATGTTACTATAGGAATAATTGGATAATAAGTGGATTTTTTTTGCCAGTTCTTATGCTCAGATACCATCAAAGAAATGTCATAACATACTGTGCCAAATCTTGAACAATCCAAATGACACCCAAAGATGTAGCTTAATGAACCTCAGAAATGTAAACTTTGGTCCATTTTGAAACACCCATGCAGTCAAGAATAAACTGGTGTTATCTAAGGAAGGAAAAAAATATTTTATTTGATCAAAAATGCAGAAAAAGGAGTAGAGAAGAATGCTTTAGCCAAGTGCTGCTTTCACAATTAGTCACGAATCCATAGAGGTAATGTTGTTGGATTCTGTGGACTAGGAATCCAAGCTGTTGTTTTCCTTTCATGCTAACAAGATCATGTTAATCTTCAAAGACACCAGTATTTCTGCTTTCTCTAAGAAATTGCTTTTTGGTTGGTTTTTTTTTTGGTTGTTTGTTTGTTTTGGGATTTTTTTGGTTTTTTGCTAGTGTTATGATAATAATAATATCAGCAATGACAGCCAAAGTAAAAATAAGTTGCAACTCCAAAACTGTAAAATTTCATGGAAATCTGTATGGAATATTGTAGATATGACAGTAAAAGTTAAATAGATGCAGGACAAACAAGCACACACAGGACTTTCATCAGTACTTGGAAGAGATTTTAACTGAACACATTTCTTAAGGATGTACATTTCTGGGAGGCACCAGTTCCTACTTTAGATCAGTCAGTGGAGCTAGAGTATTGCTGCAGAGCTGGAGAGAGAGAGAGGGAGAGAAAGGGAGAGAGAAAAGCAATGCATTTTTAACTTGACCTAATCTAATTATGCAGACTCTCTCTACAGAGAAAAAAAGGCACTTCACGGGAAGTTTCTTCTATGCAGAAAACATGCAGGAGCATTTGTATGACTCATAGGTAAGCATATCACAGTGGCAGAGAAAAAGGTAATTTTTAGTCTTTTTTGAATTTTCAAGGATTATTTTCTTAATATTACTCCATTCTAGACTAATCCTAATCTGCTTTGCATATTTATCTCCCATGTCCTTTGAGATAGCTCAGAGAGAGATCAAAAAGAGGTTTTAATCCTTCTTGTTCAGAGTAAGTGACAGTATAAACTTACTAAATGCAGCTATGTCTATTTGTCATCTCCCAGAACATGATGCTCTTACTGTTTTTCTCATGCTTTATAAAAATAGCAATATGCCAGTTTTGGATTTTGGAATTTGTTTGGTTTGGTTTGATTTGGTTTAGTTTCGTTTGGTTTTTTTAGGTTGGGCTTTTCTGTAGTTCTTTTTATCAAAACAGCTCAAAGAAATACAGATTCTTAAAAGATGGCTCTGGAAGTAAATTAGAATTAGTCTCATTTTATACAGGTGGAAATCAAGGCAACTGGCCTTTGCGTCAGTTTATCCAAATCATATGAGAACCCTTCAGCAGAAGAGGAATCTATCCAAGGTCCCAGCCATGATTCCAAGTCATTTATTTGCTTTCATCATGAGATCATCCTTCCATTCACAGTAATTGATATTTCCTTAGACAAAACACAATGGAATTATCTCAGGGATTAATTTGGCCTAGGACACTAATTCTGAGAAAAGTTCTACTTGACAGATGGATGCCTGCAACATAACCAAGAGGTCTGTGGTGTGCAGCCTAGATTTTGTGCAGGTGGAGGATAGGGAATATGAGTTGTGTATCATATCCTGCCTCTCATAATTTCTTGGCAGCTGTATTGCTCGGTAGATGGAAAAGTTTCATCAGCAGCTGAAAATCTGTTCCTTGTCATCT